TCTATAGAACCCTTAGCACACTTTGGGCACCGTATCAAGAACTCCTCAAAAAGGAGCCTAGTTTTGCAATTTTTGTACACACACACAGACCCCTATCTGAGTGAAAATGGGCTTCCATTTTTGAGCAATGATTTCTTTCATAATGGAAAAGTAATGTACACAGTTATTTTTACCATAAGCATATGAAAATGTAGCCATTGTGATGAAATTTCAAATAAAGCCAAATTTGTGGAGCGGTGAGGATGGGTTGATCATACAGCACTACAAAACAACTTATGCTGCATTCAAAGACAAACTCTTGCACAACTCCAGTCAAAATCATATATGAGGACATATTTACTCAGGTTTCTGTTTTTAGCTGGTTTATCCAAGTTGATTTCCATCTTCAGACTTTGAATTGTCAGTGTGCATAAATGTGTGCTAATAAATTATGTAGTACAGTATATGGATCACTTTTCCAAGTACATTCCAGAAGCTCAGGACTGCATTATACGCAAATAAATGTTGTTGTGTTAGTTTGCCACATTCATGGAGGTCAAAATTTATTGGGTATATTTCAGGAAGGTAGCCAGAGAATCTGCAGTTGTCTGGCAGAAATAGTGACAGAGGTACCAGGAAAGTGATCACACTACTGGGTAATGAATAGATTTAGAAAATGAGTGGAGTCATGTTTCCCTGGGAATAAGCTTCCTGATCTTAACTCAGATATGGTGGCATCTGTGGCAGAGTAGTGAGAACACCTTTGAGGCATTACATGATCCTCTTGAATCACCCATGTATTGTTGAGAGAAAACAATTGTTTCTGAGTAGAGTGACTTTAAAGAAGCTTCAATTGCTGATCGGTCACGATCTTTGACAGCAAATAAATAAGCTTCCAGTCTTTTCCTTCAACAAAAGTGTGTTCATTTTTGGGTTGAAAAGGAGGGAATGGTTATCTACAAGGTTTATGAATTACAAGAGGTTGAGTCCCCTCTAGTTCTACAGCATCTGGGAGTTGCATTCTACACTCTACTCAGGTTTGCTAAAGGTTGGATTTTATGTTTAACTGTTTTCCCTGGAAGTTAGGTCACATACTGTATCTATTAACTGTACCTGAGGCACTTAGTGAATCAGCCAAACCAACTAGTTTCTAGTATTTCATTGGTCAAGAGAATATTGACAGTGAACATGGTTCCTATGTCCAGAATCAAAATCTTTCAACACCCTGAGCATCTGTAAGGGCTGGTCTACACTATGAATTTATGTCCCTGAGAGAAATAGCTATGCTGAGCTGACGTAGACAGTGCTTCCCACAGAAAGCGCAGCAAAGGTTGAGACTGTGTAGACCAGGGGTCGGCAACCTTTCAGAAGTGGTGTGCCGAGTCTTCATTTATTCACTCTGATTTAAGGTTTCTCATGCCAGTAATACATTTTAACATTTTTTTAGAAGGTCTCTTTCTGTAAGTCTATAACATAACTAAACTATTGTTGTGTGTAAAGTAAATAAGGTTTTAAAATGTTTAAGAAGCTTCATTTAAAATTAAATTAAAATGCAGAGCCCCCCGGACTGGTGGCCAGGACCCAGGCAATGTGAGTGCCACTGAAAATCAGCTCGTGTGCCGCCTTTGGCGCACGTGCCATAGGTTGCCTACCCCTGGTGTAGACCTTGCCTGCTGATTGTAGGGTCCCTGGGGCTAGAACCTGGAGTAGCAGATGGGAAGTGGCATAGGATTGTTAGAGATATGAGGCAGATAGCTGGTCCACAGAGACTGTGATACCCCAGAAGCAGAGTGGAGGGGGCGACTATATAGCGGCCTAGCCAGAGGGCTGAATCACAGAGAGTATGCGGAGTCCTGGAGAGCGAGAGGGCCTGCAGGCCCAGTGAGCAACAGAAGGGGGCACTATACAGCATGAGAGCTGATCCCTAGACCTAGCCACAAGGGGGTGCCCTAGGGGTGAGTGAACCCCAACATGGCTCTGATTACAATATATCTCTTCTGCAATCCTTCCAGCATGAGCCCTGGTGCGGGCGCACACACACACACACACACACACACACAGGCCTGCCCGCCCACAGGCAGTCTACAAATGCAGATGTTGTATTTGCATAAATACACACTCAGCTTGTGCATGAAGATGTGGGGAGTTTTCATGAGCAAATGGATGTGCCAGGAAATAATAGGGCAACTAAAGAAGCCGGATAGCAATTGGCCCTAAATGTGCCATGTACTGATCAATATTGAACTAGGTGGTTACTTTATATGGGTAATTGAGGTGATGTAGCATACAGCAGAAAGTTAGTTCCTATTCAGAGAGGTCTATAATACACAGCTAAATGCACAATAAACACCCCTGTATTTAAAGCAGTAAAAATAGCTTTGTTGCTTACATCATTATGCTTGTCAGAGTATAAGCATAGACACTCAACAGCTCTACACTTAACTTAGGGCATATCTACACTTAAAATACTATAGTGGCACAGCTACTGCTGAGCCACTACAGTGCTCCAGCCCAGACATTACCTATGCTGACTGAAGAGGTGATAGCTAGGTATGTTTACCTTCCATGGGCTTTCATTCCCACAACTCCTCTGGGTAAACCTCTTCTGCCACAGACCGGATCCTATGGCTTTTGTGCCCTTATGGATTTCTTCCTACCTACCTTCCTGTGCCCAGAGGACAACTGGATCCTCTCTTTGCAACTGTCTTCTACAGTCAATCTCATGGCTTTATAGAAGCCCAGCCTGCTCCTAACCAGCTGGGCTTCATCTTCAATTAGTGCTTATCAGCCAAGCCTGACTCCTCCGCAGCTACAGCCTGTAGGGTTAATTGACCCAATCTCACACCAGCCCAGCTAGGGTGAAGGTGGTGTGGAAGAAAACCTCCTCACAAGCCCCCAGGGGAAATTTGGATTGAATCAACCAGAATTTCTCATGCAGGTTCACACCAAGTGCTACTCTGGAACAGCAACTCTGCCACTTCATTAATGGGGTGCAGCTCTGCTGGTGGGTTCAGTAGAGCTCTGACCCCATTACTACTCAACCCCTTTCAAGTACTTATAGCAGCACTTCTCTTTCAAAGGAGACTATGGCCAATTCCTGCCCAGGGAAACAAGGGGAGGGGGCAATTTGGGGAACACTCCCAATTCCCTTCCCTCTTCTATGCTCCCTTGTTCAGTTATGCACAAGTGAGCCCTAAGTGCAAGGGGAGTGGGTCATTGTGTGTACAAGTTGGATGCACCCCCACGTATTGCACATGCAGTTGAAGGAGAAAGCTGAAAAATAAAGTCCCCAGTTGTTACTTTGAATATGTTACGTTGCATGTTGCAAAGTAGTCTTCATAGAAGGCACAGTAGCAGTATGATCTCCTGGACAGAAGAATGTAAGCTCCCTACGATTCCTGGGGTGCTGCAGGAGAGGAGTGTCAGAAAGCTCAGGAAATCAAAATGTTTTCCGATCCCAGTATGCTTCACCTCCTATTGAATAATTTGTATTGTGTGAAAGGTATAAATGGCAGGGACATTAACTGCAAGTCTGTTATAGCAATTGCTACTACTAGTTGCCTACTCATTTGCACAGTTTTTGAATGGACTGTCATTTTGCCTAATAGTCCTGATGAAGAGTAAAATAGATGGCCTTCCTGCAAGTTTACTTCTGAGCTAATTTTATTGCTGGTTTATTTTCCTTCTGAACAGAAAAACCCCAAATGGATTATTTTATGTCCATCAGTAAAGCTCTTGGGTCTGATTGTTAGAAATGCTGAGCACCCGATGCTCCAATGGAAGTGAGATGTGGCTGCCTAGCATCTCTGGAAAGCAAACCCTTTGAGTGTATTTGTTTCTGTAACCAAAACAAAGACATTCTGAAACTTCTAGGCAGAACTAGGGTCTCAAAATGGAAGGGGCATTCCCTGAAGCAAGCTCTGTGGCCCTCTGTATTTTCTCTCATTGCAAGAGGAGGTTAAAGAAGCTCTACACTCTAGCCCTGCAGTTAGGCCAGCATCACTGCATTATAGTGAAACTTGGAAAACTACTGAGTACTTCTGAATAAAGTGCTTGGCTTGTGTGTTTTCTCTCAAATGGCCTCAGCTATTTGTGTGTCGAAGAGGCATATCAGAGCTACTGTTTGTTTGCCACATAATAGCAAACAGCTAAAGACCATAAGTCTCTTCAAGTCAGAAGAAATCCACAACCACCCTACTAGTCTGCTCAAAGACATCAGTGATTCATAAATGGATCCAATAATATGGTGGTATATAAATTACAAAATGGGTCCTCAAAAGGTGAAGCCATTTTCTTAATATCAGTTACGGGTCAAATCCCATCTCACACCAAGCTCTGCTGTGACCGTGAAGATCCCTGACAACAGTAGAACTGTCGTTCCACTGTATGGAGGGAAGGGATCGCACAAGTGAAGCACACAACAGAGTCTGGAATGGTGCGGGAGAGGAACAGATGAGGAAAGAGGACACGCGCAACTACACAGATCCAGCAGCTATTCTACAACACAATGAAGGATTACAGCATTGTACTGGCAGCAGTATGCCTGAGACTGCACAGAATGCCTGTGGAGCAGCAGTGCTCCCACTTTGCAGCGTGAGGGGAAGGATTCTATTTAGCCCTGGAAAGAGATCATCCATGTACAACCCTGTTACTCAACTTCTCTTCCATTGGGGATGGGGGGCAGGATGTTGTCCTAAGAGTTCCAGGTTTTTTATCATCTCTCTTTAGTTTAATCTATCAGTGGTTTTTATGTTCTAGTTTAAAATTGTGGAAAAATAGAATACCCTTAAAAAAATATTCACTGAGCACTATGTTAATTTAATATAACCCTTCCCCCTCTCCCTCACCCCTTGGGACCCAGGAGCGGAAACATTTTGAGGGATGTAATATCCCATGCCATCTGATTCCTAAAGAGAAATATTGTGTGACATTTTTATAATTCTGTATGACACACAGGTACTTGGATAGATAAAGGGCATGTACTATCTGCTAAACAAGAGTAATCTGTTTTTTTATTTCAGGTTGATACTCATATCCACGCTGCTGCCTGCATGAATCAGAAACATTTGCTGAAGTTTATTAAGCGCACTTACAAAACAGAGTTAAATCGGATTGTTGCAGAGAAAGAAGGCAAGAAGATGACTTTAAAGCAAGTGTTTGAGAGCCTTCACATGGATCCTTATGACCTCACTGTAGACTCTTTAGATGTCCATGCTGTAAGTCTATTCCCTCAACAAATAAAATAGAGAAAAATCAGCTCTCTATGAGTGCAAACTGCTTGGGGAGAAGGGAAGGGAAGGGACAGAGTTTTTTGCTGCATCCATTGAATGATATTTAAAAAAAAAAAAATACACCCAAAAAAACCAGTGCTTAAATTATTTGTCACTATCATGTAAACAAGGATTTAACTTAGGCTGTTTCTTTCCTAACAGTTTTGTGGCTAGAAAACAATCTTAGTAGAAAACAAATATATTAATTTGATTTATAACATGGTTAGGTATTTCCTAACCACTAGTATTTGGATACCTATACTGAGATTTTTTTTCCCTCCAGGGTCGCCAAACATTTCATCGGTTTGATAAATTTAACTCCAAGTACAATCCAGTTGGTGCCAGTGAGCTAAGGGACTTGTACCTGAAAACTGAAAACTACCTTGGTGGTGAATACTTTGCTCGTATGGTCAAGGTAAATAAGATTTGTACCAGGGATATCATTTCAGAAAAATTCTGGAGGAGAGAGAGGAAGTTGTGGTAAGCATATAGAAACATAAAAGGTGATTACATATCCTGCAAGGTCTGTGTGTGTGTGGTGTGTGTGAGAGGGAGAAAGACATAATGGAGCATATATACCTATGAAAAGGTGGGGGGGGATGGGGATTGCCTACCTTGCCCCATAAGTGATGCCCCTTATTTGTATCTCTCCAGCTGTAATGGCACAGTATTTTGTAGAAGTAATTTACAGTATGTACAGTGGTTCGGAGATTCCCAAAGGCTTCAGGCTGCTGTACCAAGTTACCAGACTGAGACCTCTGTTGAGCCAGTCACTGCCTGCTGTTTCCTGTATAATTGTACATGCTCTAACTTGCAGGGGAGCTTGGGCTTTTCCAAGCCTCCTCAATCTTGTGCAGTTACAAATTAATGGGAAGCAGCCACTGGTAGAACATTATGGTTCAGGACATGATAGGGAGCCCTCAGCACTAGAAATTAAAGACTGAGGAGCTAGGAATGGTATACATACACAATTTCTGCAAAAGTCCTCTTGCAACAAAATAGTGTGGAGGAGAGGCCACCTGCATATGCATTACTCAGTTTCTTTCCACACCTACACAGGTGTTTGACTAAAACTAATAGCATAACTTTTTCAGGAGGCAATTGACATACATATTCTGGGCCTGATTCTCCATTGTCCTGCACACCGTGTAGTCATTTACAACAGTGTAAAGGGGGTGCAAAATGCTATCATTCTGATTACATGTAGGATATAGTGGTGTAAGTGACTCCACAAGGCACAGGGAAGGCCCTCTGAAGCCAAAGGTTGCATTTAAATCCACACTGTTTTAAAGATTTCAAAGTAAGCTACTAAATGACATTCCTTCCTGCATGCTAACTGGGATAGTTTAGCAGGAATGACAAGAGATTCCTTTTATGTTTAACAGTTGCTAGACTCAGATCGGCTGCATTCCATTGTAGAGCAGGTCTGAGAAAAAAAGTGTGGTAGACAAAAACAACACCAACTGTGCATGGTATGTTGTGTCCTTACATAAGCAAACATTAATAAGTTGTTCTCCAATAGGAAGTAGCTCGTGAGCTAGAAGAAAATAAATACCAGTATATGGAACCTCGGTTATCCATTTATGGGCGGTCTCCAGATGAATGGCAGAATTTGGCAATATGGTTCATTGAACACAAGGTTTATTCACCCAACATACGCTGGATAATTCAGGTTCCCAGAATTTAGTAAGTAAGCAGGAGTTATTGGTAATGAGAACAGAATAAAATCTTGCAAAGGGACGCATTTTCTCTTCTACTATCACCTTAGCTTTACCAGCTGTTCTGTACTTCTTTCTTTTCTTTTTCTTTTTTTTTTTTAAATAAAAATATCTGGGAATTTTCCTTGTGGCTAATTGCATGGCTGCTTCAATACTGCAGGTTTCCTTTGTGGGACTAAAGTTTATTCTTCTTCAAGCTTTTCAAAACTAGTGACTTCCTCCAAAAATATTTACAAGCATCTAACTCAAATGACTTTTTTTTTAATGTTGAAAAGATTTTTTATCAAAAGCAGGTCAAAATATCACTTACAGTTTTGATTACTGAAACAGTCAGAATCTGATTCCAGAAATGCTGCATAAGGAGAGGGAAATGCTTTCCAAACTTTGTGTCAGAGAGTTTTCTGCAAGATCATGACTAATTGATTCAATTAACATGGTACTTCAACCAAAACAAATTATAAATTACAAAATTAAATCAATATCAGTTTTCACCCAATCTTTTAGCATTCTTAGGGACTACTATACTAAGCGATGTATGCTGTAACTAATGAGTTTTGTCATAGATATTTGTCATAGTAGATGGTGGCTGAATTGCGTGTTTTGAATTTAGGCAGCTGGAAAATTAGTATGAGGAGTTGTCAGCAAAGCATAGCTACCCCTGAGCATATTGCTCATTGGGGAGAGAGTTCTTCTCCTTTAACTTTCCTGCACAACATTATAAATCAGGGGATGACCATTGCAATAGTCATGCAAACTGGGACTATCAAAAGAGAAACTTCAGTTTTACAAAGTGACAGAACATTTTACTTTCCTTTGCAATAGCTTCATTTGGAAAATTGAATAACACAATTACCTCTCCTTTCCACTTTCAGTGCCTGGATTCCTTTAAGGAAATGGGTTACTTATTCTCATGATTGATACATTTCTCAGGATGGATACATGGCACTAACATTTATTATTATTAAAACAATGAGGAGTCTGGTGGCACCTTAAAGACTAACAGATTTATTTGGGCATAAGCTTTCGTGGGTAAAAAACCCACTTCTTCAGATGCATGGCGTGAAAATTACAGATGCAGGCATAAATATACGTATATATAAATATATAATAAATATATATAAATATACATAAATATATGCCTGCATCTGTAATTTTCACACCATGCATCTGAAGAAGTGAGTTTTTTACCCACGAAAGCTTATGCCCAAATAAATCTGTTAGTTTCTAAGGTGCACCAGACTCCTCGTTGTTTCTGTGGATACAGATGAACACAGCTATCCCTCTGATATTTATTATTATTATTACTGACACTGCAGTAGCATCTAGGACCCCATTGTGTTAGGTTCTGTACAGACACAGAACAAAGAAAATAAAGGACAGCCCTGGTCCCAAAATATATATTTGTGTAGCACCAACCATGTGATAAATGCTTTGGATTTCTGAATCCAGACAGAATATGACCCTAAAATGTTTTCTGAGGAAAAAAGTTGGCTGATTAATGAAAAATAGTTACAGTTGTATATCTGCTTCTTTCAGTGACATATTTAGGTCAAAAAATCTTCTGGCTAATTTTGGGGAAATGTTAGAGAACATCTTCTTACCTCTGTTTGAGGCAACCATCAATCCCAAAGATCACAGGGAGCTGCACCTCTTCCTCAAATATGTAAGTATGTATGACTCTTCTGTGCCTTACTCCAAATGGATCCTCTCTTCACAATTAGATTTTTAGTTTCTGTATAGGGGAGATGGTGAAAGCCACTGACATTATTAATAAAAACCCTTCTGTGAAGATAGCTGTTAATATTTTTTAAACACTCATATGCCTCAGTAAAAATATAGGTAAGAATGTGTTGACAAGCAATCACCATTTATTTAACCTGGAAGCAGCACAGGGCTCCTTCCAATAGTCCTGTCTGTAGAAGAGAGTAGTGAATCTACATTCATGCTAGTGCAGAGAGCAAGAACAAGCTCTGGTAAGCACCACAAAAGCCCCTTTTGCTGGCTCCCTGCAGAATAAAAAGTTATTTGAAAAAACTCAGTTCCTTAAACAATAAAGACCTCCATAGCGGTCCTTCAACAATCAAAGAAAAACACTAATTATGCTTCTTAATATATGTCCATATCACCTCACGCTCTTAATTTGTCCAGTCAATTGCCTTCATGTTGAGAAAGGGCTACTAAATCGATGATTCAGCTTTAATAAAGTATGCACAAAATGTTAATACCAATTTGGATTATGTAAAGCTACATAATTACATTAGTTTAATTTTGAAAGCTGCAGCTGATCAGTTCCAAAATTTCCAGCAAATGTTCTAGCCATGGAGCAGAACTGCTGCTTCAGTTGTTATGACACACATCACAGAAGAACTGCCTTCTGCATCCTGTGCATCTTGGAACGATGCTCTAGAATAGCAGAGTGGCAGGATTGCTGACTGAAGGAGGGCAAGTACTTACAGGTGGAGGTGGATATTTTAATATTATAATAAAACTAGAATTGATAGTTCTGAAACTTGCTTATTCAAAAAAAAAAAAAAAGGTTCCTATGAATCCCTTTTCATAGGTGACTGGCTTTGACAGTGTTGATGATGAGTCCAAACATACCGACCACATGTTCTCTAACAGAAGTCCTAACCCTGAGATCTGGACCAGTGAAAAGAATCCTCCATATAGTTATTATTTGTATTACATGTATGCCAACATCATGGTGCTCAACAACCTTAGAAAGTAAGTAGTAATTTTCCTCCATACCATTCTGTGTTTATCTTTGGTGGAAAAATGGGGTAGAGAGGATTAAAATAATCATCTTGGACCCAGTCTAAATTTATGCCCAGTTTTGATTTTGTTATTTTAAAACTCAGAACATTTTTAGGTCCAGTTTTGAAGTCAAATAAAATATTTAGAATTGTGTCTGGGATTGTTAGGTGACAGATAAATACTATAACTTAAATTATGGCACTCACACTTACTTACCTCCACCAACAAAAAATGTAAGTATTTGTTTCAACCGAAAATGTGTCTTTAAAACACAGTTGGCTCTCTGTGGCTTACCTGGCCTTTATTCAGGGTGTATTTCTGAGTTTAGGGTGCCCCAGATAGCTCCTCTGTGATGCAGTACCACAAGTTTGTCAGTACTTTCTTGTTCTGTAGTATGGTTCTCTACGTCTTTTCCACTCTACCCGTATTGTAAATTATTACCACCAAGTATTTCAGAGATACTGTATTGCAGGGGTCAGCAACGTTTGGCACGCGGCTCACCAGGGTAAGCACCCTGGTGGGCCGGGCCAGTTTTTTTACCTGCTGACGCGGCAGGTTCGGCCGATTGCGGCCCCCACTGGCCGCAGTTCACCGTCCCGGGCCAATGGGGTCGGCGGGAAGCCGCAGCCAGCACATCCCTCGCCCGTGCCGCTTCTCGCCGCCCCCATTGGCCCGGGACAGCGAACCGCGGCCAGTGGGGGCCGCGATCGGCCGAACCTGCCGCGTCAGCAGGTAAATAAACTGGCCCGGCCCGGTAGGGTGCTTACCCTGGCGAGCCGCGTGCCAAACATTGCCGACCCCTGCTGTATTGTATTAATAATAAAAACATTGAAATCTTGACTCAACCACAGCCCTTTATCAAAGATACAGGAAATCCTAATTGTTGATTAATATGTAGCCAATTGATTAAATATTCTTAATGAACCACAAGTGTGGTAATAAGTCAACCACTTCCTATCCTATTAACCCTGAAATAAGAGAGAATCCTTTCTACATAGCTGGTCCAGATGTTTATCACACTGAGGATTCTGCAGCTTCTTTGCAAATTCAGTCAACTTTTGGTCTTGTGACCCTGAATGAGAAGGAGAGAGGAGTTCAGTGAGATCTGTTTAACACTCTACTCGAAAAACTCTGGGGTCCCATACAATTACCTCAGTTTTGTATACCCTGATTTCAGGGCTCTTCGGAAGGAGCCACCCTCTGATTTCTGTTGGTCAGTTGCCCACTGACTCTCTGTTTCTCTGATGCTTCCATTGATTTGCAGTAGATGGCATCAGTGTATAACAAATTTCTTTCATGCTTCCTTCAGTCAGATGGTTTAATTCATTTAATAGATTGTATTTCATTATTTGTCCTGACTATTCATTGGGATCCCCCTCTTTAAGCAATTTCTCTTAATATTCTAAAATTATACCCTGGCTAGATATCTTTCAACATTCTTTTTTCCTTCTAGTGCCATACAATTCTTACGACTTCTAGGGTGCAACCACCATTTTCAAAGAAATGAAACAAAATCCCTTACAATCTTTAAATCTATAGAAAATGAGCCATACATTCTTTGATTATATCTAGGGCTGTCAAATGATAAAAAAACCCTCAATTAATAGTGAGATTAAAAAATGGTTGTGATTAATCGCAGTTTTAATCACACAGTTAAACAATAATAGAATACACATTTAAATTTATTATAAATATTTTTGGATTTTTTTCTACGTTTTCAAATATATTGATTTCAATTGCAACACAGAATACAAAGTTTACAGTGCTTACTTTATATTTATTTTGTATTACAAATATTTGCACTGTAAAACAAACAACCAAAACAAATAGTTTTTTTCAATTCACCTCATACAAGTACTGTAGTGCAATCTCTTTATCATGAAAGTACAACTTAAAAATGTAGAATATTTTTTTTACATAAGTGCACTCAAAAAATAAAACTTTGGAGCCACAAGTCCTACTTTTTGTTCAGCCAATTGCTAAGACAAACATGTTTGTTTACATTTGCAGGAGATAATGCTGCTCGCTTTTGCAATGTCACCTGAAAGTGGGAACAAGCGTTCACATGGCACTGTTGTAATACAAAGTGAGCCCTGTACACTTATTGTGTTGTAACTGAAATCAGTATATTTGAAAATGTAGAAAAACATCCAAAATATTTATAATAAATTTAAATTGATATTCTATTATTGTTTAATAGTATGATTAAAACTACAATGAATTGCAAATATTTTTTAAATCTAGTTAATTTGTTTTTTGTTAATTGCTTGGATTAACTGCAATTAAGTGACAGCCCTAATTATATCTAATACTCTTCACTTAACATCTTTCCAGGCTTATTACAGTATTTGAGACATTAGAGAAACAGACAGATTATTCAGAGAGATGTGTTTCTGGTTTATCAGGCAAACACTATCAACAGTTTTTAAATTGGGCTGGAATATATAACCTTTGGACCTCTGGAACTTTCAGGGTTTTGGGTCAACAGCCAAGCTGTTCCTAACTGGTTTAAACCTACATTTTGTTTTTCCACTTCTTTGGTTCATGTGACACTGTCTGGAGTGGCTCACGACCGTCAGTGCCAACCTCAGGACAGACTGTCAAAAAGCAGAACAGAAACCCCAAACTGGTGGTATGTTCTATAATTAGATTTTATCAACCCAGTAACAACTGTGAACTCCTAAAGCACTGTAACAGTTTTACCATGGAGTCACAGATAGTCCCCTTGGGCATGCCAGTTTATCTTGCCACCCAGGCAAGCTGGACTATGTGATAGATGGTTACTTTACATCAAAAATCACAACAATAGTCATGTTATTCCCAGTCCCAAAGGACCAAGCACTTACCCCAGGTCGATTGTACTCATATCTCAAACCAAAGACAACACCTGTAGCTACTCCTGTAACAAACAAACTAATGATTTATTAACTGAGAAAAGAAATGAAAGTTATTTACAAGGTTAAAACAGGAAACACACATACATGAGTTAGTCTTTGATTTAAAAAGGTAATATAAGCTTCTATATTAAGCAGCTCTGTATGTCCTTTTGGGCTGACCCATGCCAAGCAGCATGGGGATCTCTTGCTTATGTTTAGGAATCATTGCCCCTCAAAGTTCAGACAGCATAAAGAGACCTAGTTTCTTCTTCTCAAGGATTTTTATCCTCTTCTCCCCAGAGTCCAAACTGATGGAACAAATGTGGGTGTCTGATAAAAGTGGGGAGGGCAATCAACATTTGGCTCATTTGGTTTCAAAGGCCCTCTTGTCTGCAGGGCCAGCACTTTACACTAAATTAATGTGTCTTTTCTTGTTTAGTGAGTTACATAATTACAGAGGTTTACAATGCAAACACTCAATATAACTTTACACCATGGGATACAGATATTATAAGTAGGATTATGATGTGCAGCATCCTACAAGTATTCCATAAAGTCTAAACATTAAACACATTCTTACAACTCTAATATCTGTTTTAACTATAGTAACCCACAGGTAAGCCAGCTATGCATTTGTCGGTGTTCAGAGAGGCCCTGGGCCTTGGCATGAGTTGGCACCTGGCAAGCCAACATCACAGTTCCTATTTAACATATGAGACAATTAGGTACTCTGCACAGAAAGGGTGCAGTTACACTTGTCTGTTGCTTGGCCGTGGTTCTCCTTAGCTAGACCAAGAGAGATGGAAATCTCATCCATAGGTAAAATTACGGGAGTCTTTGGTTTGAGAAATTAACAGTAGTTGGAAAAATCTTTATCAAGCATAAGAGCTTTCCTTTCCTGGGAACTGTGTATTTTAGCTTTAACTTAATTAATGCTCTCCAGGCAAGGTGTCTCATCTGTTGGGATAGGCCAATTGACTATCATTGTCCTTAGGGCTGAGAAGAGGCTAAAGTTTGGAATGCGCATAAAGGTGATTTCCAGAAGATAATTAAAAGGGAAGAGAGAGAAATTGCCAACACCATATTTTGATGTATATGGATCTTAAAGAAGTCACTTAACCTCTCTGTGCCTGTTTATCTACTGCACTGGTGTAATAATATTTCCCTAACTAACAGAAGTGTTGTGAGATTTGTTTCACTATCATTTGTAAAGTGTTTTGGGATCCTCCCATGGCAGATGCTATAGACTAACAAAGCATTAGCATTATTTTAATTTATCTTCTTCAAGCATTTCCTTAGTAACATTCAAAACAGTATTCCCCCTTCCCAACCCCAAACATTTCTTACTTTCACTACACCATATAATCAACAAAAACAATGACAATAAAAACTTTTTAAAATCTCCTTGAACTTATATCAAACATCTGGCTGCCTACTTGTTGACTGACTGTCTGCTACACACAGTCTTTCCTTCCACTATAAATTTAAAAATGCTTCACCTGTTTCTCCCACATTCACCATCTTGTTTCTTGTCTGGACTATTTCTCTTCAGAAATTACAAATAGCTCTCTCTCTCTCTCTCTCTCTCCGTGTGTACAGTCCTCTCCCCCCCCCCCCAAGCTTTGGGATTTATTATGGTTCGGAAGATTGTGACGAGGTATATTTCCCAACCTACTCTGAAACAAAATTCAGATATGATGTAGATTCCAAAATAACCCTCTGACTGGGGTTTCCTTTTATTACCACAGTAATTAACAAAAATACAATAAAGTTCAACTCAAGCTTGCCTGTAACTGGACGTTCCTACCTCAAGACTGCTCAGTTGCCATCCTACAGCCTCTCCCTCTAGAGAGCCACGCTAACCTTCCTGGTATCTTGGCAGGGGTAATGACGTATCTGCTTCAATGAGTCAGCAGTACTCTGTTAATCCAGTCTCAGCAGGCTCAATGCCTTTGAAGCAAACATTGCAAAACCATTTCATATTTTTGAGTAACCTGATAGCATATGCAAAGTCAACAAAGATGAAATACACCCTCAAATGATTCTATGAGTATGACTTGTAATTAAGATTACATCCCAGAACCTCTTTATACTCAGCCAATCCAAAAATGTATGTTTTTAGTCCTTTCTGTGTTTTGAGCATCTACAAAGATTAGCAGGTAATTTCAGTCTGTGCAGGGTTTGTTATGGTTTATGGAAGAAATGGTACCAGGTTAAGACACAAAAAATTTTAATTTAAGCACATCTGAGTCTAGTGAAGTAAATAATTACTCTTAGATATGTTTTCCCATTCATGTGTTTAGTTATTTTTATGGATATTTTTCAATTGATATTAATGGCATTTACATTCAAAATGGGTGAAAAGACACCAGTTATTCTTGGGGTAGGACTTATTTTTAATTTCTGCAGGGAAAGAGGCATGAGTACCTTCTTATTTCGCCCTCATTGTGGAGAAGCTGGGTCCGTCACTCATCTGGTGTCAGCCTTTCTGACATCTGACAACATTTCTCATGGATTACTCCTGAAGAAGGTATTGCTCTTGTTGTTCATTTATCATAGTCTTAGTTTATTGAAAAAACTCAAACACATCAGACTTACCAATTAATAAAAACACCTCTACACGACCCCTCACCCTCTTGAAGAATCTAGGCAAATATAGAAGATGAAATTCTGGCCACACTGAAGTAAATGGCAAAATTCCCACTGATGTCAGTGGGGGCCAGGCTTTCATCCATTAAGAAAATCTTTGTGAAAATAATTGGCCACCGGGTGGCAGATTTGTATCAAGTCAGTAGTCATTCTGGTAAAAATACATCTTCTTTTAAATGGTGATTTACTTAGGAAGACTGAAATAAGAATCCCTCCATAGTTCGTGTGTAAATTCTTTGAATTAAAAGTTAATCTCTTATTACTATTCTAAGATTAGGAAGAATTGCTTTCATCTCCCCACAAAATGGTTCCCTAAGGCTGGTTGAAAATTTTTGATTGAAATGGATTTTTGATGGAAAATTGGGTTTTTGACAAAACACATTTTTTTATGCAAAGCGTAAGCTTTCCATGGATATTTCAATTTTTTGTTGAAAAAACCCAAGTTGAAATCTTTCAACTTGGAAACGCCACTGTAATGCTTCATGGAAGTTGTGGTTTGGGTGCCTCAGGCCCTGCAGTCTCTTTTGAGATAAGTTCCCAAGCCAAGCCACATCTCCCATGATGGCAGCCGGAGATTTCGGTGATGTCCTGCAATGGTTCAGCAAGATGGGAGCCGTGGTGCATCCTGGGAGATATAGTCTAGCCAGGGAACCTGGCCCATATTGAAGAATGAAGGAATGAGGCACCATGGTACAATATTTGAATCAAAATTTTTGGTTTTGGCCAAAAAGTTTCAGTTCTAGAATTTTTGCTGAAATATTGACATTTTGGCATTCTGCCCCTCCCCCAGTCTAGTCCTCCTGTAATTTGGCATCTGAAACAAGTTATTTAAAAAATTCAGAACATAATTGAAATCAGTGGGAACTGCTAGTACTTAGGTTCTGTGAAAATCAACCCACTAACTTAGATGCCTAAATATGGGTATAGATTTGGGTGTCTAATGTTAGGTACCTAAACTGAAAATTTTGACCTGAAGTCATATCACTATTAAGTCTCTATTAAGACTGATAGTCCTAAAATTAGACCCAGGCAGTGTGCTATAGTTTGTACATACTCACTACATTATGCTGTTCTTCTCTTTAGCCTGTCAGCTCTATTCTTGTACGACCAAGAATGGAATAAACCTGGCAGAGCTGATAAGTGTGGTGCAGGCTTGTGTCATGTATACTAGTTAGATTACAAGCCAAAAATAGTCATGAATACAGATGAGAATGAATCCCCTAGATTCTGAATACATTACATGTGCACCCATATTTATACCCTCAGCTAAATGAAAGCTCCTTCCTTTGGTTCTTTAACAACCCCACCCCCCACTACCACCACCAAACTGATCTGTTCTGTGGTGTGTTTTGGATATAACTAGTGTTCTCTAATGTACCTGTGGTGCATCTGAATTTAAGTTCTTTTTGGTAGGGACTCTGTTAGTATGGAACAGAGCTCTCCGACAGAATCATGTTCGATCACTAGGCTCTAAATAATTAATAATTGTGTTTTAATGAGAATACTGTCTCAGTGCATCCAACATGTAGAATATTTGTTGCTTTAAAAAAAAAGAAATAATGGCATTTAGAAAATATTGAAAAAAATCTGTGCAAAAAGTCACTTCAGTGCAGACTTCAGTTTTTCTGGTCATAATCCTTCCACAATCATATTCAATGAGGCTGTTTCCATTTCCTCTGATTGAAAACCTCCTTTCCTGTTATCTCACAGGGCCATTAAATAATGAATATCTTTATTGTTTTTGTACAGAGTCCAGTTCTTCAGTATCTTTATTATCTTGCACAAATTCCCATTGCCATGTCTCCACTTAGCAACAATAGCCTATTCCTTGAGTATTCAAAAAATCCACTACGGGAATTTCTACATAAGGGACTTCACATTTCTCTCTCTACAGATGATCCTATGCAATTCCATTATACAAAGGTAAGCACAACTGAAAACCTTTTTCTTTAAGGTGAATTTGTTAACAGTGCCAAAGTGGCCTGAAACACTTTATTTCTCATGGCATAGTATGTGACACCTTATGTCCTTACACACCTCTCAGTCAATGTCCCCCCTCATTCCCACTCCTCTGAAAACTGTTAGATTTCATGGGGAAATGACTAATTGCCAAATTACATTTTGTTTGTAATCCTGCCTCTTCCAGCCACTGGCTCCTCAAGTACAGAGGAAGCTCAAGAGGATGGAGCGCTCCCATGTTAGTGTCTTGATAAGCAATGTTTTAGAGGTGGGGTGCCAGGGAAGACCTGTTTCCTTTCTAATGAATGTGGTTGAAGCTTGCTGAAAAAAATGTCATTTGAGATCTCTGAAGATAAACTACAAACTGTTCATTTAATGTACTGGGCTTGATGCTCTCCTGCTCCGAGTTCCACTCAGTGCAGGAGAGGAGAGAGTGCCTGGAAACTGGTTACAACTCCCTGATTCTGTGGGCTGGTCTACACTGACCTCAACCCCAGTGTGAATTGGAGCAGCCTGTTGGCAGCTCTAACTTTTGCCATCTGAGGATCAGCAGTGCTCTAGTCTGCTTCACTCTGCCCTGCCCCTCCCCCTCTGCAATGTGCCTACAATAGGGAGCAGTTTGCGCCGGACCTTGCTGCACAAATTTTACACCAGTTGAGAGCTACCCACTGTTGGAGGAATTCTCAGGTGGCCAGTATCTGCCTCCTTGTTGCATTCAAAAGTGTCAGATCAGAAGAGAGAAACTTTCTTGGTGTATTTATCAAGCATTTAGACTGAAATTCGCAAAGCAACCTAAAGGATTTGGATGCCAATTCCTATGAATTTGAATTAATCAATCTTTCTCAGGCATCTTGAAATAGACAAAACGTTCAGTCTCCAGTAATTGAGTTTAAAGCCTAAAAACTTGAATTGTGTCCATCTAACAAAATTGTTTAATAATAGGAAATGATTACATATCAAACACAATTACTAAATAGGGTATAGCCTAACAAATCGTATTTTTGATGGTACAGGAAGCACTTATGGAGGAATATGCCATAGCAGCTCAAGTGTGGAAACTGAGCACGTGTGACTCATGTGAACTAGCAAGAAACAGCGTACTACAAAGTGGATTATCACATAAGGTAAATTTGGTTTGTTGCAAGACACATGTTGTCATTGCTTGGACTTTTTATGAATATAAAGGTATGCAACGATTTAATGAAATTTTTTTGGACTATGAAATGACTGGTGTGTGTGAAATACCTCTGGCTTCAAGGAGCATCAAGACAGAGATGCTGCATCTCCTGGAGTTACTTTGCTGAGCATATAGTATGTATGTATGCAAATAACTTTGCTTCCCAGATTAACCTCAAGAGATAGGATATCTCATTTTCATATCATCTCCTGGGAGCAGGCAGTTACATTTAACATGTATACATGCTTGGATTTCTCCGGGGATTGATGCTGGGATACAAAGACTTTAATGTAATAGATTGTCACTGATTTGACTTTTGCTTCCTACTGATCTGTGCTGAGTTCATTACAGTCTGAGTTGTCTAGTAGTATATGTGAAATAGATTTATGGTCTCAATCTAGTTCTTCATAAGACAGGTGAACATCACACTGCAGAAATCACTGCTAAAATTTGCAACCTTGTCGGTAATTTGGTCACTATATGGGAACTGAGCTCTTCCGTAAACCTGGCCCCAGTTATGTGCGCTGGGTTCTTGAAAATCTGGCACTAAGTCTAAAACAATCCTACACAGTTCCTGTTTAGTTCTTTAACAAAAATTACCAGGGATATAAAACATCTTATAAAAAGTCAGTATGCTGTCTAAATTTAAATAGAGTAAACAGTAGCAGGTGGACCATGGACTTAACTCTGTGGACATGACAAATTCTTCAGTTTTTTCTTGAAATAGACAGTATGTAGGAAAAAGATACCAGGGTTTTATCATGATTCCAGTGTAAAGTGTTTGGAAGAGACAAACCCAGCCATTTCAAACATGAATACCCATCACCATAGGTAACCGGATATATGACAACCATGGAGCAATCTTATTAGACTGGACATTGAGCTTGGTGGAATGTTGAGCCTAATAACTATTTTCTGTTCCATTGACAAAAGCAATAAATAGCAAGTCACTTGCAGAACTGGTGATTAATTATCTCCAGCCAGATGCAGACAATAGTATTCGTATTATCTGAAGGGCAAAGGATATAGCTTTAATTTCTCCCCACCTCCAGGCATAGGTTCAGATACTATTTACTTGCTCTTTGCTATGCAGTCATTACCCCACAAAAGTATTAAACTGTCATCTTTTGCTTACCAGCCTTGTTTTGAGATTCTCAAAGCAAACAAAGACACTGTGTCCATACATATATTCAGTCATTCACTTTTCTTCCTTAAACCTTTCTTTTTACTGTTGACTATCCTAATGTGAACGAAGTAGTTGATTCAGGTGGGGATTGTCTCTGTAAATCAAGACTGGATTCCTCTCTGGAAGACTTACTTTAATCAACAAAAGTTATTGGGGTTAATTGCAGGGGTAAGTGGGTGAAATTCTATGTCCTTTGTTTTATACAGCAAGTCAGACTAGATGATCTAATGGTCCCTTCAAGCCTTAAAATCTATGAATTTCTCTCCATAAAAGCTATTTTAGAGAAGCTACTTCATCTTTTCTAAGTAGGTATCTCTATCTCTTTGGAGCATCCCTTTGAGAAGCTGGCACAGGAATGTCTCTGTGGTGCATATTCTACTGCCATTCTTGCTTGCATCTTCTGGTGGTCTGATGTGACCACTGTCATCCATTTCCCCCCAAGAAATAAAGAAATGGCAACTTGCCAAGGGTATCTAAATCTCTCTCCTTAAACTCAAACTCCAGAGGTGGTAAGTTCCTGATGCAAAGCCCAACAAAACCAATGGGTCTTCCCATTAACTTCAGTGGGTTTTGGGTCAGGCTGTAACAGAGCAGCTTTACTATCACAACTAATAGAAGAAACAAATACACATATGAGCATGTCATGTGTTCTGCTCCGATAGAAAGCTATTGTGAAAACCAGCTCATAAGACTGAAGAACTCTGCTGAGGCTAACGTTAACTTTTTAGCATTAACTTTTTAAAGGATTCTAACTTTAAGTAAAAGATAATTCAGGAGAAATGGAAAAAACAGATAGGAAAAAAGCATATCTTGGTTGAACCAACCAGCATTGAACTGCATTGGCAAAGCAACATAATACAAGCAAGCTACCTACATAAAAAGAAGGTGAATGGCTAAACATCATAAATTACATGTCCAGCTCATTGTGGTTTCTTTTCACTTATCCTCAGTGCCATTCACTTAAAAAGATGCTTTTACTTGCAGTAAAAAAAAAAAAAAAAAAATCAAAGTAATTTAAAACTGACTTTTCCATAATGCTTTAAACTTTATTTTGTTCACAGGAAAAACAAAAATTCTTAGGGGTAAATTATTATAAAGAAGGGCCCGAAGGAAATGATATTCGAAAGACAAATGTGGCACAGATCCGAATGGCTTTCAGGTATGAGACACTATGTAATGAGCTCAGCTTCCTGTCTGACGCAATGAAATCAGAAGAGATTACAGCTCTATCTAAAGAGTCACAGCACCAAGAAACAAGCCAATCTTCCGCCTGACCACGTGCATTTACCATCTGCTTTTTAATAATGAATCTTCTGTGATTGACAGCTGCCTAGATACAACTGTTTGAACAATACGGAGAAAAGTATCTATGGGAGGTGGAGTTAAACAGTGTGCAAAATTATTTTCTGTTGCATTACACTCTTTTAATGTAATATCAGTTTGTACATACATTAGACTATGTAAGACTGCCGTAAACACATCAGCTCAGAATTGCATCATTTATGCTGTATACTGCGTTTTAACTGTGCTTTGCATTGTAGTTTTAAAACCAATCATAATATGAATAATGCTTGCATCTGTGATCTATAGTATTCTACTGCAAACACGAGATGCATGGTAGTACACATGCACCTGTTTTTTGTCATGACAGTTGTCAGTGGCAGTCAGACCAAACAGCATTTTTAAATGTAGCCCTTGGTTAATTAGCAGATTGTATGATGCACAATTTAGTAGAACTCATTTTCATTATGGAAAATATTTGGAGACACTTTCCAACCTGTACATAAAGTATTCAGCAATGATCTTAGAAACAAGATGTTACCAGATAATTATTGCATATCTTTTTCATCATTATGAATTGATTAAAACAGTTCCATCATGTCATTCTTATCACCCAGTATTTGGAGTGAGTGTGAAAAATAGAAGCTAACATCTTTTTGCTAATGAAAACAGAAAATTGTGTGAAAATGATTATTGTACATGTTAAACATACAATAAAATGACTTTTCAAAAGTTTTAGCTTCAATATGAAAGCACGGCCTTGAAAATGGAGAACAGATTTTGATTACATTATAACCAGAGAGAGGTGGACATGCTCAGACTAAATTATTTGGAAATTCATGTGAACAACTCTGGTCAAATGTAAAGCAGAAACAACTGACCTGAACAAAGAAAATGTGCCTATCCATTATTGGTAGAAGTTCAAGTCTCATCTCTGACCACCTTACACATTTTTGTTAATATTATTTTAGTCGGTTACACTGGGCGGTAATAACGCCATCTGTGTACATTTATATAGAAATTATCCCACTTTGAGATACACAATTTTTTATTATATGCTAACAACTTTATTTATGAAAGAGGTGGATTAGAAAAATGTAGTTACTGTAATATTTGTGATTCCTCCTCTTTTCTGCTTGGTCTTCTTTATGGCATAGCACTGATAGTCAAACTGAGATGATTAAACATACCAGTAGCACCTCATCCACTGTGAAAACTATGTGGTTTCATACAAAAAATTTTTTTGTTTTAATTGAAAATTTGCAGTTCCCCATCTAGGGCGAGATCTTGCACACCTGAAATTCCCATTGAAGGCAATATTAAGCTAACGTATAGATCTGATACTATGTTTGAACGTATGGTAAGAAAATTGCACAAAGGCTGTGCTCCAACATTCCCAGCACCCTCATTCACTTTGTTAGGAGTTTGGAGCATCCAAGCCTTTGGGTGCAATGTTTAGTCTGAACAATGTCTAAAACAAAGGGTTAGAACTGTATATTTTTGGACTATCAGCGGCACAATTTTACATCATTTTAACTGCTTCTCGCTCTTAAAGGTTGCTCTTATTGCTGTCTTCTGTCTAAGCCATTTGAATAACATGTAACCTTTTATAATTAGTCAAAGCTGTTAGTGGCCAATACCTTGTCAGCTCCTCTCCTGTTGAATGTCTCAGTGAGGTTCCAATCTGTAGCACCAAGATGGGACCCTTAATAAGAATTGATTTCAATGGGTCATTTGGTTTGCCTCTTATTATTGGACAGTAATAACACATTGACTAGCTGCTATTGCAAGGGACAACCAATTTTGCTTCCAGCGCCTGCATAGGTTCTACTGTAAATTACTGACAAATTGAGTTAATACAAAGTGTTATGTCACAACTCACACCTACATCCTTTCAAGCTTCCACTCATGTTCTTTCTCTCTCTTATTTAAGTGGCGGGAGGCCATTCATTCTCTGGTTCTGTTCTGAAATGGCGCTTTTTCTGCAGGGACTGACTTGTATTTGATCATAAATGAAACTATAGTTCCTCACAAGAACCTCCTTCCCATTTTAGAATCATAGAACTGTAGGGGTGGAAGGGCCCTCACAAGGTAATCTAGTCCATGCACCCCAACCCAAGACAGGACTAAACATACCTTGCCCATCCTTGAGAGATGTTTGTCTAACCTGTTTTTAATAAGATCAGATGATGAGGATTCCACAGTCACCTTAGGTAGCCTGTTCCAGTGCTTACCTTGTAGGCAGAAAGTTCTTCCTAATATCTAACCAGAATCTCCCTTGCTTCAAAGGACCCTTTAAGTATATACCTGGTATGAGACAGCAGAAGTTGATACAAGCCACTCATCTGCATTACTATGTCATTTATCTTTCCTTTCCATTTCACTCAAATGTTAGTGGGGCAGTTCTTGCCTGGTTGCATCAGCTCCAGTATAACAATGGGCTCTTTAGACTAGCAGAGAAAGGTATAACGCAGTCCAATGGCTGGAAGTTGAAGCTAGACAAATTCAAATGGGAAATAAGGCATACTTTTTAAACAGTGAGAGTAAGTAACCATTGGAACAATTTCCCAAGATGCAGGGAGAGGGCGTAAAATATCAATTCAGAACACTTTTCTGGGTATCCCTTGATTGTTTTCAAGAATACTGTTGTTCCATTATTTTTATTGGTGCTACGAATAAACCATATTTATTTTCATCTGAAATTCCCCCCTTGTCTATGCACCAAATCCTTTTATCATCTTACAAATGCTATTTATAATAAAATCATTAAATGAAGTAATTTTTTTTACCAACTGATTGATAAATCTCAAAAGAGGTCATAGAATTGTAGACATGTAGGGCTGGAAAGGACATCAAGAGGCCATAAAGGCCAGCCCCCTACACTGAGGAAGAACCAAGTAAACCTAGACAATCCCCTGACCAGCATTTGTCCAGCCTATTCTGAAAAATCTCCAGTGATAGGGATTTCATAACCTACCTTGTGTAGGCTTATTCCAGAATTTAGGAAAACCTTTCTAATTAGAAGGGTAGTTAATATCGAACCTAAAGCTCCCTTGCTGCAGATTAAGCCCATTACTTCTTGTCCTACCTTCAGTGGACACGGAGAACAATGGATCACCCTATCCTCTTTGTAACAGCCCTCAACATATTTAAAGACTGTTATCAGGTCCCCTCTCAGTCTTATCTCAGGATTAAACATGCCCAATTTTTTAACCTTTTCTAATAGGTAAGGGTTTCTAAACGTTTTATGACTTTTGTTGCTCTCTTCTGGACCCTCTTCTCAATTTGTCCACATCTTTCCTAAAGAGCATCTCCCAGAATTGGACACACTACTACTTTTGAGACCTCACCAGAGCCACACAGAGTGGGACAATTACCTCCTCCTCTTACATATGACACTTCTATTAATACATCCCAGAATTATGTTAGCTTTTTTTGCAGCTGATTGCATTGTTGACTCATATTCAATTTGTGACCGACTGTAACCCCCAGATCCTTTTCAGCGGTACTGCCACCTTAGCAGTTATTCCTATTTTGTAGTTGTGCATTTGATTTTTTCCCTTCCTTGTACTTGTCTTTATTCAATATCATATTGATTTCAGACCAATTCTCCAACTTGTCAAGGTTGTTTTGAATCCTGTCTTCCCAAGTACTTGCACCCTCTCTAACGTTGGTGTCATCTGCCAATTTTATAAGCACACCTTCCACACCATTGTCCAAGCCATTAATGAAAATATTGAACAGCACTGGATCCAGGACTGACCCTGCAGGATTTCCCCCTAGATCAGGGGTGGGCAAACTTTTTGGCCTGAGGGCCACATTGGGTTTCGGAAATTGTATGGAGGGCCAGTTAGGGGAGGCTGTGCCTTCCCAAAAGCCAGGCGTGACCTGGCCCCCGCCCCCTACCCCCCCCCCCCCCCGCTTCTTCCCCCTGACCACTCCTGGGACTCCTGACCCATCCAACCCCCCCTGTTCCCTGACAGCCCCCCCAGGACCTGCGCCCCATCCACCCCCCTGCTCCGTGTCCCCCGAGCACCCCCGGAACCCCTGCCCCTGACTGCCCCCTTCTGCCCCATCCAACCCCTTTCATTCCTGACTGCCCTCCCGGGACCCCTGCCCCATCCAACCACCCCTTCTCCCTGTCCCCTGACAGCCCCCAGAGCCCCTGCCCCTGACTGCTCCCCACCGCCCCATGCAACCCCCCCTCCTTTTGCCCCCACTGGGATCCTTGCCCCATTCAACCCCCCCTGTTCCCCACCCTCTGACCACCCCCTCTGAACTCCGCTGCCCTCTATCCAACCCCCCCGCTCCCTGTCTCCTTACCGCGTTGCCTGGAGCACCGGTGGCTGGCGGCGCTACAGCTGTGCCGCCTGGCTGGAGCCAGCCACGCCACCATGCAGCACAGAGCACCGGGTCAGGCCAGGCTCTGCAGCTGCGCTGCCCCAGAAGCTCGCAACCCCGCCGCCCAGAGCATTGCGCCAACGGCAGAGTGAGCTGAGGCTGCGGGGAAGGGGGAACAGCAGGGCAGGAGCCGGGGGCTAGCCTCCCAGGCCAGGTGCTCAGGGGCTGGGCAGGAGAGTCCCGCAGGCCGGATGTGGCCTGCAGGCTGTAGTTTGCCCACCTCTGCCCTAGATACGTCCTTCCCATTTAACAGCAAATCCTTGATAACTACTCTTTGATTATGATCTTCCGATCAGTTTAGTAATTTCAGCTAGACACATTTCCCTAAGTTGCTTCTGAGATCATCATGTAGGACTGTATCAAAAGTCTTACTGAAATCAAGATGTTGCACATCTATAGTCCTCCCCCAACAATCTGCTAGGCCAGTAACCCTGTCAAGGAAAGAAATTAGGTTGGTTTGGCATGACTCATGTTTGATGAATCCATGCTGGCTAGTACTTATAACCTCATTAACCTCCAAGAACTTACAAATGTATTGTTTAATAATTTGTTCCAGTATCTTTCCAGGTATTGAAGTTAAGCTGACTGGTGTATAATTCTCTAGGGCCTTGTTGTTCCCCTTTTTAAAGATAGGTCCTATGTTTACCCTTCTCAAATCTTCTGGGACCTCACCTGTCTGCCAGTTCTCAAAAATAATGGCTACAAGTTCTGAAATTGCTTCAGCTAGTTCTTTAAGTACTTGTGATGGAGTGGATTCCCCACATTAGCCCTGCAAGAGCTGAATTAAGCCAGGTGGGCCTAATCAGCTAATCAGGCTTCAAGCAGAGGCGGTTTAGGCTGGAAGCAGTTAAGTAAGGAGAGGCTCATCTATGCAGGAAGAAGGGGCTGTTGTGGGGAAAGACTGCAGGGAAGTAGGCTGCAGTCACTCTGAGTGAAGGGAATTAGAGGCTCTGGCAAACCCAGAGAGGGGGGAAGTCAGATATGGAGGAAGGAGCCCAGGGAATCAGCAGCAAGAGGTGGGACTGTGGCTGCTTGTTAGAGTCCCTGAGCTGCATCCCAGTGTATAGGGTGGGTTTGGGTTCCCCTACCAGCCACTGAGGAATGGCAAGGGCACTGGAGGTGCCAGCTGGACAACAGGTCTGGAAAAACTGCATTCCCCACAAGGGGAGGACTCTTAATGACCTGGCCAGAGGGCCAAGCCATAGAGAGGAAGCTACAAACCTGGGAGCAAGCAGGGCAGCAGAGCAAGACAAGACAGGAGAAGATACCACTGGAGGGAGAGCACAAGCTGGTGGAGTTAATCCCCCCCAGGATGGCCAGCAGGAGGTGCCACTGGTGTCCTTCCTACATCACACTCAAATCATTTGTAAGAAGGTTCTCATACAAGCTACATAAGTGCGATAGGAGTACTTAAGGTCCACAGCATACATCTCTGACCTGTCTCTAGGAAAGCTTTCCCATTGTGTACTAGCTGTGCTTGACAGATTAAGGTACGCACTCTGCCAACAAAATAGATGAAGAGGTTGTCCTGGCCCAGGGTTACCTCCTCTTAGTTTAGTGCCACTGAAGTCAAATATACTCATTTACCTTGCCTGAGAATCTAGCCTTATCATTTAAAAGTGTGGTTCTCAACCGGGATCTGGGGCCCTCTTGGGGGCTGTGAGCAGGTTTCAGGGGGTCCATCAAGTATGGCTGCCATTAGATTTGCTAGAGCCCAGGGTAGAAAGTTGAAGTCCCCCCAGGTGGGACTGTAGCCTGAGGCCCTGAGCCCTGCCACCTGGGGCCGAAGCCTGAGTAACTTAGCTTCGTGTTGCCCCCTATGATGTGAGGCCCTAAGCAATTGCCCTCCTTGAGATCCTGCTTATAGCATGTTGCGGGAGGGGGGCCTCAGAAAGAAAACGCTTGATTTAAAACATATCTTTCAAAGGATTGTACAAGACCCAACGTTTGTATATTCATACAAAATGTTTAAATGAGTTAAGGTAGTTGACAAAATAGCAAACGAATTACTTTCTACATCCATTCTTCCTGAAGTAAAGAACATTCCTTAACTTAAAAGGATTTTGTTTACTTCAGTAGGAACAGGGCAAGAGTCTATCAAATACATTAGAGCAAAAAAAATAAGTTCTCTAAGATGTAAACAAAAGCTTCCATAACATTCCTTTGCTTCTCTACACAACAAGCAAACAAGAGGTATGGATTTGGCCTGGACCCATCAACCCTAACTATGCTAAAATCACGCATCTAATTTCCACAAAAACTGTGCCCCCCAAATTACCCACCATATAATAGTGTACATAGGGGGATAATAGCACAATATAACACTCCTTTCCACGGTCCCAAGTCCTCTGAAGATGGAGGACTCTCTTACAGTTGGATTTCCTTGTCTCTCTCAAAAAAGTCTAAGAGTGTATGTTGGAAGTGCAAGTCCCATCAGTGTGGGCTTGAGCCATGTTGACAAGAACATATGGCAAAGCCTTAAGCAGGTTTTGGGCCCAAAGTCCCTGCATGCAACAGAACTGCATGAGACGACCTATCTGGCCTTAAGAGATTAAATAAACCTTCAACTAAGAGTCTTATTTCACATTTCATAATGGGTACGTGAGGCAAATATGTACTTATTTATCTGTAAGTCAGTTCTCCTATATTGCCGGCGCTCTCTCACAGAAGAATGAGGGATAAAGCTCCATGTAAGGGCCTGATCTGCAAGTTATATGTTTCCTAGGGTTACCATTCGTCCGGATTTACCCGGACATGTCCTCCTTTTTGTGCTAAAAATAGCGTCCGGGGGGAATTTGTAAATCACTCAAAATGTCCGGGATTTCCCCCCTCCCCCGGCAGAGCAGAGCGAGCGGCTGGGAGGGCTGCAGGAAAGTCACAGGCTGGACTCCGGAGCAGCTGTAGAGGAGCTCCTCCCCCCCTCCCTCCCTGCAATCTGAGCCGGCAGCTCCTCCTCCCCGGCAGCCCCGCGCCCCGCTCCAGCAGTACTGTGTAGGGCCAGGGACCGGGTTGTGTGTTGTGCTGGGGAGCGCAGCCACGTGTCCGGCTCGCACAGAGCCCAACACCCTGTTCTGAGCAGCAGGGTAAGGGGGGCAGGAGAAGGGGCAGGGAGGTTCTGGAGGGGGCAGTCAAGAAACGG